GAGAGGAAGGAGAGGGAGATAGAAACATCAATGATGAAAGAGGATCATTGATTGGCTGCCTCCTGCATGCCGTCTCCTCCCCACCCCCACCCCCCGGGAACTGAGCCCTCAACCCAGGCATGTGTCCTGACCAGGGAATTTGTCCTGATGGGGAATCAAACTGTAACCTCTTGTAATCGAACCTGGTTCATAGATCGACATTCAACCACTGAGCTGCGCTGCCGGGCCCTCTGAGACTCTTTTGCTTTAAGCAACTTTCCCACCGTTTCTGTGCATCCTGAAGCCTTGGAAATGCCAGAGATCCTCCTTTCAGGGTCTCAAAGGAGCACGTGATTTTGTTAGCGATCTTGTGATCCCCCACCTGAATTTAATCTTCCTTCTGTTCCCTCCTTCATTCCAAATGCAGGAAAGAAGCTGCAAACTCATTCGTGAAAGCATTCTTCTGTCTGTTGAGATCTTGCTTCTGGGCTTATCCTCTGTTTGGCTCAAATACATTTTATAAAAATTCTCTACAGGTTTGGACGTTCTTTTTGTTGTGGTGGTGATGGTGTTTTTGTTTTTGTGAATCCTCAGGTGAGGTTTTTTTCCATTGATTTTTAGAGAGAGTGGAAGAGAGGGGGTGGGGGGAGAGAGAGAGAGAGAGAAGAGAGAGAAAAAAGACAGACAGACAGACAATGATGTGAGAAGAGAGACCCGTAGATTAGTTGCCACCTGCACACGCCCCCAGGGGCCTGGGAATGAACCTGCAACCCAGGTACATGCCCTTGACCGGGAATTGAACCCTCAGGCCGATGCTCTAACCACTGAAAAACACTGGCTAGGACAATTTGGACATTCTTTTTTTAAAAATGATTTTATTGATTTCAGAGAGAGGAGGGGAGGGGGGAAAGGGATAGAAACAGCATTGATGAGAATCCTTAATTGGCTGCCGCCCACACACCGCCTACTGGGGGATCAAGCCCACAACCCAGGCACGTGCTCTGACCAGAATCAAAACACGACCTGCTGGTTCATTGGTCATGGCTCAACCACGGACCCACACCGCCGCGCGGTTTGGACGTTCTTAAGTCAACACTGGAATTGGTGCAAGTGCCAGCAACCAGTGTCGACAGAGCCTGGATGGGGCTTCTCGGAGGCCATCACTACAGAAACCAGCCTCTGAAAGGCTGGCCAACAGCAGCTAATGATAAACTAACATCTTGGGCCAGAGGAGAAGGAAGGTGGCATTGGCTGGCCAGTCCCCCTCCTTCTCGAGGGTGAGGTATAAAAGCTTTGCCTTTCCACAGAAGCGCTCCGGAGCTCAGCAGAGACCACGGCAGGTGCCATGACTGCCCTGGGAATCACGGTCGCCCTGCTGGTGTGGGTGACAGCCCTGCTGTGCGCCTTCCTCTGGAAGCAGATGTACAGCAGCAGGAAGTTGCCCCCAGGCCCTTTCCCACTGCCCATTGTTGGGAATGTTCTTCAGTTGGAACTCAAGAATATACCCAAATCCTTCACCAGGGTAAGAGGAATATTGTTGACTTGGGGGGAGGAGAATTTGGGAATTAGATGTAATACGTGTGCATTCAACTCGTTGTCAGACAAATTGTTCCGAATTAACTGAATTAACAGTGGTGTCCAAGAGCAATATTCAAAATATTTAGCTGGTGGTAGAACTTGGGCACGGAGCACTCGAAGGGGGATCGGCCGTGGGTGCCCCGGAGGCCCCTGCCTGCGCCGAGTGTTCACTGCCTCCGTCATCGCTGGCGTGGCGAGGCCACCACCATACCTGGTGTCATGCATTCACACCAGGTGCACAAGGGCTGGTGTCGACTTGGAGTTCTTTGTAGATGCCAAAGACAGAGCGAAAAGTGAATTGCTTGCCCGACCAGCCTGGGACCTCCTCCCATGGTTTTGGTGAACAGTGGATGCGCTAACAGATCTGAAAACTAAACGAGTTGATAAACCTACTAAATGAGTTAGTAAAAGAATGCCACACGGCACAGGGCGGGCTTGGAAAATGTTTTCACTAAGAGAGGTGTTGCTGGTGCTTTACACTCCACCGGGGGGTGGGCTCCCAGGGGTCAAGATGGTGCGGGCTCTGGGTCCCGCTGCAGTGCCCTGGGGCCCGTGGCCTTGACCGGACACAGCAAACTGTGAAGGTGACAGGGCAGCTGTGGGCAAAGTGGCCTCAGGGGAGGGACAGGAGCAGCAGACCCCTGGGGAAGGGAATCCGCCACGGCCAGGTGGGATGGCTCAGTGGGCAGGTGTACAGGAACCAGACTTCCCGCCGAAGAAAGCCATGTGGGGAGGGTCTTCCCACATCAGGCTGGGCGTAGACAGGCTCTCCCCAGGTCCCCCTGGGTCCTCATGGTCGATAGCCATGACTTTGGGGGTCGGTTGGAAGCACAGCGCCCCCGTCCCTCACTCCCCGCCTGCGGGTCTCGCAGCTGGCAGAGCGCTTTGGGCCGGTGTTCACTCTGTACCTGGGCTCCAACCGCGTCGTGGTCCTGCACGGCTACCAGGCAGTCAAGGAGGTCCTGCTCCAGCACAAGAACGAGTTTTCCGGCCGAGGAGAATACCACGTGTACCGGGCCCACAAGAACCAAGGTACCTCCCGCTGCTCTTCTCACGATGCCCCGGGCGGGTGCTTGGGGCCTGGCGGGGGCTGAAGCCACAGTAACAAGAAACAGTAAAGTCAGAAAGGTCAAGAGATGCCAGTCCGTCCAGGGGACGGTTGGTCCGTTCACTCAGTCGTCACACAGCGGGCGTCTTCACGAAAGCGGCTGTGACCAGGGCCTGCAGCTCCCTGACAGCAGGACAGACTTTTATTTTATTTTACTTTAACATGTATGTTTTATTGATTTCAGAGAGGAAGGGAGAGGGAGAGAGAAACATCAATGATGAGAGAGACTCATCCATCTCCGCGGCCTTTTGCACGCCCCCTACTGGGGGTGGAGCCCAGGCCTGTGCCCTGAACGGTGACCTCCTGGTTCATAAGTTGACGCTCAACCACTGAGCCACGCCAGCTGAGCTATTTTATTTTATTATTTTATTTATTATTATATTATAT